GCCCTGAGGAGCTGGGCCGGGGCCCGCCAAGGGCTGCTGGCGGGCTGCGTGTGGGTTAGACCCCAGGCTTCTCCCCGTAGGGCTCTCTGGGCTGGGTGTCGCTGCCAGCTGTCGGGCGTTAATGCTTCAGGAAAGACAAGCCGCTTGAGATGTAGCTGTTCCGCTTTCTTACTTAATAATTAAGTGTTTGGTTTTCAGCTCTGTGTTTAAGGAGAGGGGATGATTATCATGATTTCAGTTCACAGATTAGCGTGTTTGTTTTGGCAATTAAAAGTTGTCAGTACTTCCATTCTGGGGTGGACTTAGTGTTTTCGCTTTTTTTTTAAGCCCCTCTTCAATGTTATCTTCTATTTTCCCTGTGTGAAAATACCACGTTAAGCAGACACCTTAAATTTCCTTGTTAATTTAACCGTGGTTTTCATATCGTTTCCTTCTAAAGCCTTAACAGCGTTCCAAGCGTATGCATGTGCAACTTAAAATCTCATACTTAAACAGTTTCGGATAAAGGAACAGATTTTTCTGGAAATGTGTTCAATCTGAGATTAAAGCCCTAAACGTTAGGAATATATCTAGAAATCAGATATTTTAAGTTTTACTGCATTAGTACTTGTTGAGTCCAAAATCAAAGACTTGATTTCAATGCTGTTGTATCTTAGCTAAAATAAGTATTAATGTAGCTGGAAATCAGTGGGGTATATTTCTGTAGATTTAATAAAATGTTTGCCAAGTACGGCTTTGAAACTTTTTTTTTAAACCAACTACATTTTTATTAGGTGGGAGGGGTAAAACATTAGAATATTATTCCCACTTACTTGAGGTATTGACATAGCTGATATATTTACTACTTCCACTGTGTGATCCTTATAGTTTTTCCTTCTTGCAAATATACATGGATTTTTACTTAAAAAAAAAAAAAAAAGTAATTTTTAAATGCTAGACTGACCAGTAGCTTTGCACAGATGGCTGTCGTCTGGCAATTTCCTGAAGACTTTGAAGCTAGCCAGGGTGGAAATCTGATGGGATTTCATTAACGTGATGAATCATATACTCTCCATCTCATGTAAAATTTGATCGGATGAAGATTCATAGTTTTGCAACTGGAGTGAATTTCAGTGCCAGAGGTTGTGCCACATTCCATGTCTATCCAAGTAAGGCGAACGTCCTGTTACATGTTCTATATCCACGATCCATTGCACTCACCATTTGTCCAGCCAGGTGTCATTAGGGATCTGGCTGTGTAGAACAGTTTACATCTTGAATCATCGTTTGAAGCAGGAAAGAACAAGCTCTTGAGTTTGACTTTTAAATTGTGTGAAATGTAATAAGAGTTAATCTTGGGAATTGTTTGTCATCTGACAGCCAACATTAGGAAGCTGTGGCAGACATAAATTTGTTGTATCTCCAAAAGTGAGTAACAAGTGTTTTGTGCTTTGCAGTTTGACAGTAGAAGATACATCCTCTGGCTCAAGTGTGGGAGAAGTAACCAACAAACTTACTGTAGATAGAGAGGAGTGTTCCCAATGAGGAAGTGGACTAATGTCACTTGTGTTTGTCAGGTGACAATCTGTGAATTACAAGGTTCCACCTTATATACAGTGGAGTGATATACAGGAGGTTGTCACACAGTCACTGTTGAAGAAAGACTGTTCTGTATATGGGAAGAATACTACCGTTGTATGTCAAAGCTGTACACTCAGGAAATTTTTAAATTTGTATGAAGTGCTTGTTTTTCTGCCAGTCTGGGCTTATGTTCCAACATAGTTTTTGCAAAATTAGAAAAAGGGCAAAGTAGAAAGTAAAGTATTGTGTTGGAAGACTCTGTATGTGTATATATATATACTCACATATAAGTATAATTTCTGTTTTGGCAGAACTTTCATCAGCCTTGTTTTGCAAGGAAAGATACAGTTAGACTAAATTTCTGCAACTTAGTTGAAATTGGAGAATAGTAGGAGTTTTGTGAACGAGCATTTGGTAAAGGCCTTGAAAACTCTTCAGCACATTGCTACGTGTTTATCGTGATCTGACGAGATGAAATAAATCAACTTCTCTCTATTCCACAATGTTCATGAAATGTGAAAGGAAGAATAATTTTATTGTTTAGAAGTTGAGACCTTTTATTTAATATAAATGGCTATTCTGCTTGTAGTTAGGAGATAATCCATAGGCCTCACTTCATAGTGGTCATTACTTATAAATGGTTTTAGTATTCTCTACATGATAGTTCACACACATAGATTTTGAGTTTTGTTCCTCAAAGTGGGATAAAATGCTATAGGTGAAAGTGAGAGAAATTGATAAATGCAGGTGATGCCTCAAATTGACACCATCTGAAAAGACTACTAAATAAAAGATGGTTAAAATAGTCCTTTTTAGTCACGGCAGCTGCTTCTTTTATGATTAATTAATTACAACAGCAGCTTCCTAGGGAGACTTCTCTGTGGATTCCCCTGTGCTCCCTTGATACTCTTTATCCACAGCCAACATAACTGTAATAAAGACATTTGTTATGGGCTCCGTGTAGCTGCAGAGATGCTTGGTCTCTCTCTTTGGCTTGGGACTGAGTAGCGGAGAAATAATGATAGCTCTGTGGTTTCTTCCCCACGCCTGGGGGTTATTTGATTGCCAGAGCAGATGACAACACACTTATGACTTCTGCAGGTTACTTTGGATGCTTGCAAGGTGCTCTTCCCTCAGCAGACAGTGATGCTCAGAGCATCACAGGTTTAACTGAGCTTACTGTGACACCTGTGATAATGTCAAACCACTTTTTTTCCACTTGTTACTAGATAACTGCAAAGCAGAAAACTGTGATTGACTAGGACCCGGTTTATGTATTTTCTCAATGCCCAAGGGCAGTCATGGCCTTGCACCTTTTTAAGCCCTCTCCTGCAATTGTGCATAATAGGAACTTATTTTTCTGCTGCAGAGGTGTAGCTCTTGTGCCAGTCTAGGATTTTTAAAGAGAACTGGAGTAAGTCCTGCTCATCAAATAGCTTGGAGTGATGAATTATGGCCACCTTGCAAGTCAAATGAGAAACCTTGCGAGGGCTGTGCTGAAGGAGCAGGCAAGAATGGATTGGTTAACCAATAGGTTTGACCTATTTGGGAATGTCCTTAAACTTTACTTTTGAATTTGATCTTGGAAGTCTAAAAATTAGAGCATCAAGTCCTGTGCTTAGTAACTGTTTTCATGGTGAAAGGAAATGAACCAAGGCTGCTCTTGCACTTGGTAGGCATAAGGGAAACTGGAAGGGGTTTTAATGCCCTGGAAGCAGGGATCTTTGCCTAGTTGGCTTGGGAAGGGCCTGACTTCAGTTGTACTTTGGTCTTTTATTTCAGATTCTTAATTTTCGATGCTTTATCTGTGTACACTCAGTGACTTTTATGGTTCATTTTAAACATTCTTGAAGATTAGATATCTTTTGTTTCATTTTATAACATGTTTAATCATCAAGGATGTATAAGCTTTGCAATTCTTTTGACTTTATAGGGGCCAACAAACTTTTGCTAATAGCTGTAATGTTACAGAACATTTTGACTATGTACGCTAACTAGTTTGAATCTCTCATAATATCTGTAGTGTTCTTTTGGTTTTTGCAGATGATGCTGCAGACGTTGGTGAAGAGGACAGCTTCTTGGGTCAGACTTCTGCCAACCCCAATCCACCACAGACTTTCAACTATTTCTCTCAAGTACCTAGCAGCAGCGATCCATTTGGAAGCATTGGGCAGCCACCCTTAACAACTGTTGCACCACCTGTTGGAGCGCCAGCCTTCTCCAGGCCTCCAACTTCACTTCCACTTGTGTCTGGGTCACAAGATGGGCAAAATGCCTTTTCACCGCATATTCCTAAGTCACAGTCCTCTTACAGTGCACCACCTACTTCACAGGTGGGAATCCCGGCTTATCAGACTCCTCAGCAGAGCTGTCCCCCGCCTGCAAACACGCCAGTTCTTCCCCAAGGAACGTCTCAGCAGGGGTATAACCCTTATCGGCACACCACCCTAAGCAGCAGAGCTAACCCATACCTTACTCCGCCACAACTGCAACAGAGTCACCCACCAGCTCACCCACCGTCCTCTGTCCCACCTGTCCAGATGTATCAGACACCTCCAGGGTCATTGACACAGGTATAGAAATCATTCCTGATGTACTGGTACCAGAGCAAAACAATTTAAGTTACTTTCTTCTTTGAATTGCATATTTTATCTTCTGAAGATTTTTCTTTTCACCCCAACCCGCCCCCCCCAAAAAAGTGTTGAACCGTTTTTGATAGCAAAATCTTTTCGCTAGAACTCGATGGAACTGTTGCTTGAGGAAAACTTCCTGATCTTTGAAGTGAGTGTACCCTGAGGCTGTGGCTGCATGAGCCTCTGGTGTCAGAAACAAAGCCAGGTTGTGAAGTTCTGTTGCTCTTTTCGGTCTGTTACTGCCTGCTGCCATTTCAGCTGTCCTGCTGCATTGTTTGTGCCTCTGACGTAAATCAGGTCATTCACCCATTTGCAAGATATGGGCTAAAAATATCGTTTCAAGTTGGTTTTGCTGATGAAGACAGCACTTTTTGAAATTATGATCTAAGTCACGTGAATTGTCAGCAAACCCTTTGAAACACATTGGTTGAGGATTTTGTGTAATATAAAACATTGATCTCTGTTCTTTTTTACCTTCACAAAAGCATTATTAAAATAATGTGAATGGGTTAGTAATAACCTGTCAAGTTTTCCTTGAAACAACAAAAATTGGTTTTATATTGCCTGAGCTATTGCTATATTGCTACTATTGTGAATAAAGAATAGCAAGATTATATAATGATAAAAAACATAGCAAAGGCAGTAGAACCTAAACAATCTGTCGTTTTAGATTAAAGAACTTCAGAAGTTCTGCTTGTTTGCTTTTATATATAGTACAATGTATTAGGTTTTTTTTTTTCTTTAAATGTATTGACCAAAGCAGTTGCTACTGCTGACATCACTTGCTTTTAGTTGTACTAACTGGCATCTTTGTACAACTTGGATGAAATCAGCTTTATGTAGGCTATGGTCCCTTTCAAAATCAGTTACTTTTCTTGTGTCACTGAGGCTACATTTGGGTTTGAAATCTGCCTGTACTGATCACTTTATGGGAAGAGAGCTAGTACTGAAGTGGCCACTTGTTAAAATTGACAGTCTTTACACAAAAATGTAACTGTATAAATGAATAATGAGAAGAACGCATTTTTACTTTCATGTCAAATTTGGTGGCCGTAAGAAATAAGCTTAGCCTGAGTTTTGAAAATTTAAGAGAATACTTGAAATCTTACAGGTTTTAGGTAAGCAAGGTGCTAGACCATAACAATTTTTAATAGTATTGTGGGAATGAAATTCACGTCCTTTCTCAATTTGAAAAAGTGTTCAAGTTTTTAAAAACATGCTAAAGTGGACAACTTGTCTGTGACATCTTTAGAATGAAAGATAACGATCTTGGGGAGGAAAAAATGTTGGAAATAAAGGCTTAAAAACATGCTAAAGTGGACAACTTGTCTATAACATTTTTAGAATGAAAGATAATGATCTTGGGGAGGAAAAAATGTTAGAAATAAAGGCTCAGAGTGTTCTCTATAGCCAAGTATAGATCAGTTCTGTAAAAACTATGTGAGATTGAGGTGGTGAGCCCATATGTATTTTCAGTTTCCACAGTCTCAGTCACAGCTCCGAGCTCCCAGGCCTGCAGGTCCGCTGGTCCAGGCACCTCCTGTTTTTCTGCAGAACCAATATGAGCCGGTTCAGCCACACTGGTTCTACTGTAAGGAGGTGGAGGACAAGCATGTATGGATGCCATTCAGCATTCTGGATTCTGCGAAACTGGAGGAAGTCTATAATTCTGGTAAGTCATATATTACTCTGAGTTGAACAGAAGGACTAGAGGGAAGATGTTAGAGTAATGCCACCCTCCTGTTTTTCTGCAGAACCAATATGAGCCGGTTCAGCCACACTGGTTCTACTGTAAGGAGGTGGAGGACAAGCATGTATGGATGCCATTCAGCATTCTGGATTCTGCGAAACTGGAGGAAGTCTATAATTCTGGTAAGTCATATATTACTCTGAGTTGAACAGAAGGACTAGAGGGAAGATGTTAGAGTAATGCCACTCACGTATGGTCATATATTACTCTGAGTTGAACAGAAGGGCTAGAGGGAAGACGTTAGAGTAATGCCAGTCACGTATGAGAGAGTGATATGGCGGTAATAAGTAACATTAATACATATCTCGAAGATGTATTTTGTGCTGCTTAATTTGACTCATTTTCTGTTGCTTGATGCTGTCGAGAGAGTGATATGGCGGTAATAAGTAACAATACATATCTCGAAGATGTATTTTGTGCCGCTTAATTTCACTCACATTTTCTGTTGCTTGATGCTGTCAAGTGTTAAGATATACATCTTTAGTGGGTATCACATTTTCACGTGGAACTCTCTAGTTATCTGTGTCTTGGTTTGCCTTTTTGTTAAACTGTCAGCTCTGGAATAAGTATTCGTATTTGGGAGTTGTTCAAAAGTTTTTTTTGTTGTGTACAGAGCGTATAGTTCTGGGAGAAACATAATGGTTGCCTGATATTATGAAACCTCTCTTCCATGGTATGTCTTAATGGCCTAGTATTCGTCACAGAAGTGACTGGGACTGGATTGAGAAAGAAAAAAGGATTGTATATGTTAGTATTGTAACCGAGTGCGATTTTTGTGTCATAGTCCAGCCTGATCCTGAGAATGTGGTTCTGAGCACTGACGGGGGACGCTATGATGTATACCTGTATGACAGAATGAGGAAAGCTGTTTACTGGGAAGAAGAGTCTTCTGAAGTGAGAAGATGCATGTGGTTTTATAAGGGAGACAAGGATAGCCGGTTTATTCCTTACACTGAGGATTTTAGTGATAAGCTAGAGGTTGGTATTACCTTTACATAAACTTCACAAAGAACTCGATAATTCTTTGTATTTGTGACCTTAGAAATACTTTGTGTTTCATTAAAATGATTTCCAGAATGCACTTTCTGGAACATAATTAAGCAGATCCTGGAAAGGGGAGTGGCTAGAAGACCATGTTACTCATGCATAGGTCCTGCAGTGCTGTGACCTAAAATCAGCTTGTGTAGTGCTTCACATGACACTTCTGTGTAAATAAATTATGTAAATAAGTTATGTAAATTATAACCTTAACATTACAGATGATGCACAAGGCCAAAATACAGTTTATCTGAGAGGGCATACTGATTTTCTGTAACTTGTTTACTGTTTCAGGCAGAATATAAAAGGGCTGTAACTACAAATCAATGGCATCGGCGACTTGAATTCCCAAATGGGGAGACGATTGTTATGCATAATCCCAAGGTAATAGATTTTGGCAATTGGTTCTCACAGAATTCATTAGAGGTAAATGAGCAGGTGGATGGAAGCATAAATTGCATGCAGTCTTACTCTTGCATGAAATGTACTTGTTGATTGTTTTGGAAATGTGTGCATTAAAGATGATAAAGTTTAGAGAACACTGAACTGCTTACTTCAATGTGCTGTCAAGTGATTAAAAGACAATGCTTTCTGAAACCTAAGAAGAATAAGGGTTTGCGTAGTAAATATTTTGACTAAGTGTAACTGGCAGCAAATGGGAGGCCGTTTGACTTAGTTTAACCTCAGACAGTCTGTACCAAATGGAAGGCAATTTAATCTAAGCACTTTCATGTGGAGAAGACCATTAATCCAACTGTAAGGTAGTTGGTTTGTGTATCTAAGTCATGAGAAGCCTTCCACTGCAACTATTTTTAGTTCGTGAGAAAGTATAGCAAAAAAAGCTTTAAAAGTTATTCTAAATACTCTACTAAAAATCTCGTGGTTAAAACACATGGACTTTGGCCTTATTGACCAATGCTGTTAACTGTTCACTTATCACAGATGCAGTAATTAACAAATAAATAAAATAATCCAGAAGGGCCAGAAAGGAGTGCGATTGCTCCTACTTCAGGCACTTATTAATGCTGGTTAAGGAGTTCTGTCCAGTAAAAACCTAGAGCAGGAGCACATAAACCACTTGATGTCCATTTGGACTATAGTGAGTGAGTTAGTGTAAATCTTATAAACAGCCGTACTACTGAATTCCTCACTTTCTAGGGGTTCTGGGCTACTTCCAATGTTGTTGTCCTTCCCTGAAAAGCATTGTGCTTTCCCCCTCCACCCCATGATAGAGTCATTGTAGATAGGAGTAGTGTTCAGTTTCCTGACGTAATCTGCTAAGGAAGAGTGGATACTGGGGTCTAGGAAAGAGGAGCTTGAATAATGCTTGTCTGAGAAGTTAAAATTTTTAAGAGTCACTCAGCAGGCCAGCTTCTTCAACTGGTGGTTACTTTCGTTGAAGTCGCCTGGTTGCTTTTCACATTAATGAGAATTATCTGTGCTATTTTGGAGTCTAGTTTTAGTGATGCTGTCGCTGCCACAGGGAATAGCCCTAGAGTTTTCTAAGGCTTTTTTTTTTTTGCATATATGCTAGCTAAAGAAAACTGTTGAGTATCAGATGCAAGGTAAAGCAGTCAAACAAAAAGTGTGTTAAACCATGCCATATTTTCAGACTAACAATATGAATCATCAGGGTTTTTTGTGTTTATGTTTGGACAATGTATTTTTTTCAGGTCATAGTTCAGTTCCAACCTTCTGCCACACCAGACGAATGGGGCACTGCTCAAGATGGTCAGGCAAGACCAAGGGTAGTAAAACGTGGAATTGATGATGACCATGATGAAATTCCTGACGGTATGTGATTACTCTATGTGGGTCTGCAGCTTGAGCAGTCAGTTCAGTTCTGTGCAAAAGTTGGACAGTAGCGGGTGGAGTGGCAGTGCGTTGTTCGTGCCTAGAGTCTAAAGATTAAAGCTATTCCTTAATTTAAACTGCTTGAGAGAAGTTATCTGGTTTTGTTTTGTTGGAGGGTTTTTTTGTGTGTTTTTTTTTTCTATCGAAGGAACCTTGTGGTGTATGTTATGTCCTGAACCATATTATGTAATAGGCTTTATAAAGCAAGTATATCTTAAAGTTGCTTGACTCTAAACTTCACCACTGCAGCATATATTGGTACTCTGAATTTTTTCTTTTTTTTTTTCTGCAGGAGAAATGTCCCAAATTGACCATTTGGTATTTATGGTTCATGGCATAGGTCCGGTATGTGACTTGAGATTTAGAAGCATTGTTGAATGTGGTAAGTTTTTGCTTGTTTAATGAGCAGTTGTATTCTTAACTGTTTGAATGTGGGTCTCTATATCTTGTATTCAGATGACCATGTATGTGTGTGTGGTGTGTGGTGTTTGGTTTTTTTGTTTGTTTGTTTTTTAAAAAGTCTCTAATGTAAGAAGTTCAATTTCTGGTAGAATTTTTTCCTGATTATTTTCCAGAAGCAGAATCTGTGTTTTGTCAGACTTACAGTTTTAACTGTTATTACTAGTCCTCAATATTAGACCTGCAGAGTGGTTTGGGTTTTGGGGTGTGTGGGGTGTGGACTTTTTTTTGTGGTGTGAGTGGATGTGTTTGCTTTGTGAGATTTGTGTGTGTGCTGCTGTTTGTGTGGGGTGGTTTTTTGTTTGCTTTTTTGTTTTTTTTTTAAAATGTGCTCCAGTACAACTGAGTAAATTAAGAAGGCTTTGTGTGGTCATGGAGTAAAAATGCATTCATTGTGAGATAAATGGAAGCTTGCTAGAAAATCTACTTTAAAAATTTTTTTTCCTATAGTTAGGAGTAATACTTGAAAAGATTTTTTCACTTTGCAGTTTCCTTCATTTGTATTCTGGCTATGTCTGAAATTGGCGGCGGGTGGGAAGAAAGAATATTTGCAATTATACGTTACTTGAGCACTACTACTGTCAGATTTTCATTACTCTTCTCTCTGCAGTTGATGATTTTAGGACTGTTTCCCTGAAGTTGTTGCAGACTCACTTTAAGAAATCTTTAGAGGAACATAAAGTGAGCAGAGTGGAATTCCTCCCAGTTCACTGGCATAGTTCTTTGCACGGAGATGCAACAGGTGTAGACAAGTGAGTATATTGTTTAAAGTTAAGAACTTCATACAAGCTGCATCTTAAAGGCTTTTGAAAAGTGGATAAAAAGAGAAGTTGATATGCTCTTCGGGCTAGATGAATAAATGTATGACTGGGTTATGAGAGAGAATAGCTAATATTTTTAATTAACGTTTTGAGAAGGAGTATAGGGAAAGCTGGAAAGGCATGTGGAGTATTTATTCTCATGACACTGGGTGACAGGATACATGTACACACACTTCTTCAGTACTGCATTTTCATGAAAGTGGCTAATGCATCGATACATCATGATGAGTGAGTGTGTAGAGAGTCATCATAAGTATGAGGTGGAGAGAATGGAAATGTATTGTCCAACAACAGGTATGTACAATATAGAGTGGAGAGGTTTCTCTCCTGTACCTTCCTGCAGTCTGATTGAGTCTGATGCTAGGAGATGTCAGTGTCCTCTTTCTGAGGAAGGCATTGAGCCCTCTATCCAGTCCTAGAGTAGGACCTGAATTATGATTAGGCAGTTGAGCTAAGATTTTTTTTTTTTTTTTTGGAACAAAGTGTCTATATTTGGGTAGGAGTGCTACAGCATTTTAAAATCTATTTTAAAATCACTTCTTGGTGCCTATTCCTTTGCTGTTGCTTGACATTTCAAGCTGTTTTCTCTTACTCAAAGATGGGGAAGCATGCTGGTGTTCTCCAGGCTGTTCTAGTTCAGTCAAGTCATATTGGTTTCCTAGAGTCTTAGTCTTTTATTCACATTTGAACACTGCATTATCATGAGAAAAGGTCCTTGCTCTGTTGATCAAACCAGGCAATGCTAACTAAGACAGTCTCAGTTCTCCAGCAATTCCATTGTAGCTATCTTAAATCCAGGCAGACAGATGGTAATGCGAAGCTTTTACTTCAAAAAGAGAGTATTATGTTTCCTGTTACTTCAATTTCACCTTCAGTTTTTATATGCAAATTCTTTTTCTCTTCCACTTTGACCAATCTGCTCACAGAACTCCCCTGTTACTATATGAGAGCAGTGTTGGAACAGAGAAGAGGGTATTTCAGGCTTCCCTTCAGCCTGGAGAGAAAAAAGGGAGCTGTATCTTTCTCAAATATGTACAATCAGCAGATAGCACTAATGTATGAATATGCAACAAGGCCTGAAGGCTATATGTATGTGGCTTGTTTTTTTTTTTAAACATCTGTAGAGACCATATCTGTGCTATTTACATTGCATTTCTACTACCTGTCATTTCAAATGTTAACAAAGTTCTTATCTGCATTTCTTTAAAGGCATTCATGCTTCTAATGATTTTGTGTTACTAGGAACATAAAAAAAATCACTTTGCCGAGCATTGGACGCCTGCGCCACTTCACCAATGAAACGCTGCTTGACATACTGTTTTACAACAGCCCCACGTACTGTCAGACAATTGTGGATAAAGTGGGGATGGAAATGAATCGTTTGTATGCACTTTTCATGAGTCGCAACCCAGATTTCAAAGGAGGAGTCTCTGTGGCTGGGCACAGTTTAGGTAATTATCTAAAGAACTGATTTAGGATAAAACCAGCATTCCTACACCAAGGGAATGGAACCTTCATTAAGCATAAGGCTGAAATTAGCTGATAGAGGATGGCTGTCTTTCAGAATACAAATGACTAAAAGTCAAACATCTCTCAATAGCTAAATTTATAAAGCTTTGAGAGAAGGTTAGTACTTCATAGATGCATGCATTTCCCCTCCCCCCAACCCTTTTTAGTTTCTTTCATGAAGACTTAGTGTCTCATTTCTCTTTAAAAGTTGATAGGTTATCTGGTGTCTTGTTAGATGGGTAACTTCTGTGTCTCAGAACCCGACTTAGTAAAGTAAGATAATTTTTTTTGAACATAGAATAAGTGTTATAATGACTCACGACATACTGGTTTGGGCTGGAAATTTTCCTCCAGTTTGGCAAGCATAGACACATAGAATGGTTTGGTTGGCAGGGACCTTAAAGATCTAGTTCCAACCTCCTGCTGTTGGCAGGGACACCTTCCACCAGACCAGG